CATCCATCCATCCATCCATCCATCCATCCATCCATCTATCCATCCATCCATCCACCTACCCACCCACCCACCTACCCAAACTGCTTTATCAAGGTATAATTGCACATGTTTAAAGTGAACAATTTGATGAGTTTTGACAAATGTGTCATTGTGAAATCATCACTACAATCTGTATAATGAACACATCTATCACCTAGTTTCCTCTGTCCTTTTGCATTCCTTTCCTCCCATTGCTCCTTATTCCATGGTCTACGCAGGCCCCATATTTCTTACAATTTTATGCTATAACCAGGGCCCCTATTCCCCTATTCTTTTACTGACAAGAACAGGGCTCCTATTTTTCACTTTTCCCATGAACATAACCAACATTCCTAATTTACTCTTATTCCATGGAAAAAATTAGGTTCCCTGTTTTCCTTTTAGCCCATGGCTGTAACGGGGCAACATATTTTTCTATCATTCCATGGAAATGAATAGGTCTTCTATTTTCCCTTCTTGTGTGGACATTACCAGGCCATAGATAGAGCCAGGGCCTCTAGTTCCCTGTTATATCATGGACATAACCAAATGTCTGATTTTCCTCTTTTCCATGGACATGTCCAGAGACCCTACTTACCCTAATTCCATGGACATGACCAGGCTCACTGTTTTTCCTATTAAATGAATGTGATTAGGCCCCCTATATTTCTTCTTTCAACCAGGCCATATGATTTAACCAGGCCATATATTTTCCTTTTATTCCATGGACATGTTCATGCTTCTAATTTTCTTCTTATTCCTGGACATCTAGGCTTCTATTTCTCTTTTATTCCATGAAATCCATCAGACCTCATACTTTTCCTTTTTCCATGGATGTTATTAGGCTCAGTATTTTTCTCTTTGTGCATGGACACAGCCAGTTTCTATTTTCCCTCTTTCATGTGCACGGCCAGGGCTTTTCTCATGTTCCATGGGCATGGCCAGGGTGCCTGTTTCCCCTTATTGCATGAATATAGCCACAATCTCTGTATTTTTCCTCTTTCATAGACATACCAAGGGCTCCTATTTTCCTTTTATTCTATGGACATAACCAGGTCTCCTAGTTTCCCCTTGTACCTAGACGCCAGCACACTCTTTTCTTTTCATTGCATTAAAATAATCAGGCCTAATATTTTCCCTTTCCATGGATTTTATTAGGCTTCATATTTTTCTCTTAATTCATGGGCTTGGCCAGGCCCCTTATTTTTACCATATTCTATGGACATGAAGGGCTGCCTAGTTCCTCTTATTTTATGGACATTAAATTGCTGGATTTTCACTCAGTTTATTTTATGGGTATAACCAGGCCAGTTATTTCCACTTCATCCAATGATCTTAATCAAGCTCCTTGTTCTTCCTTATACCATGGACATTACTAGAATCCTATTTCCTCCTCAGTCCATGGACATGACCAACGCCCTAATTTCCACTTATATGGACATGACCAAAACCCCCCTTTTTTCCTTAGTCTACGGAAATAATCTGTCCTCCTATATTTTTCCTTTGACTCGTGGATATTATACTGCTCCCTATTTTTCTGTTATTTTATGGACATAACTAGACCCCACATTTCCCCTTATTCCATGAACATGACCAGGACTTTTATTTTCTCTTTAGCCTACAAACGTGCTCCCATTTTATTCTTATTCCTAGACATAACCAGAGCCCTATTTTTGCCTTATTCCATGAATATGACCAGGACACCTTTTTTTTTCCTTAAGCATAGAAATGATGGGACCACCTATTGCCCCCATTTTCCTGGTTGTTTCTACTTCCCTTTTCCTTTTTCCAGAGACATGGCCAGAGCCTTCGTTATCTCTTTATTCCATGACAATAATGAGTTTCCCTATCTTCCCTTAACCCACGGTTATTACCATGTCCCATTTTCATCCTATCCTGTGAACATAACCAGGTCCCTTGACTGGAGTTTTTGGTAATTTGTTATAGTAACCATTGGAAACTAATACACACAGACATATCATGCTGCCTATTTTCTTCTTATTCCATGAACATTTAGTGAGTTGAGTTGTATTTCACAAAAATATATATTCAAGTCCTAACTCTTGGTACTTATGAATGTGAATTTATTGGAATATAAAGTCTTTATAGATCTAGTTAAGTTAAGAATCTTAGGATGAGCTCCTACTGATTTTAGAGTAGGTCCTAAATCCAATGACTCATGTTCTTAACAGAGAAAGGATAGAGAGAGATTTGAGACAAATAGACATAGGGGTAGGGAGGGAAGGCCATGTGAAGACAGAGGCAGATTAGAGTTAATATTGCCACAAGCCAAAGAATTCCAGGAGTGACACGATAAGGCCCCATTTCTGGTTTTACTGTAAAGATCTATATTTTCTTCTTATTTTATAAAAATTACCAGGGACCCATTTTTCTCTTACTTTATGGACATAGCCAAGGCTCATATTTCCTGAGAAGATTTATTTTTTTAAATGTACTTTTATGTATGTACATGGATTTTCTAATGTGGCCCACTGAATGTTACTTTTCCTTCCTCAAGTCCACAGTGTGAAAGCATATCTCAGATCTCCAGGGTGGGCTGACCTTGTGCAGGTACGAGCACTCTCACATATGACTCAGAATCTTTATATATCTACTTTACGGTGTCACTCCTGCAACTCAGGTTCAGGGAATTCCAAAGCTGCCATTTCCATTGGCTGGAGAAGTCCTTCAAGGCAGGCTTGGAGGGCCAAGAAGGATGTTGTGACTGGTCCTAACAGGATTTGCATATTGGGGGTGGTCCGGGTCCCAGGAAATTTGGGGCCTGAAGGACCACAGGCTTCAGTGTATGGGCTCAGAGTGGAAGCAGAGTCATGCAGAGGATATTCTTGGGTGCCTGCTGATGCCTGACTGGGAATAGGTTCTTTGCTTATATTCATCTAGTCTCCACGACAATCCAAGATTAGTAGTTTTTTCTATTCTTATATTATAGATGAAGAAACCAAGACTCTCAGGAAGATTAACTCTCCCAGAGTCACCCAATAAAGGATTTTAACGTGGGACAGTTAGACTGCAAGGCCCACTCTTCCCCCACTGTTTCATGCTATTTCTCACAGACCAATGTCTTATTTATTTTTGAACATTTTTTACCTTTATCCTGAAATAATTTTAGACCTACAAAAAGGTTACAGAAATAGCATAAATGTTTTTATATACCCTTTACCCCACTTCCCCAAATGTTAACATCTTACATAATTATAGTACAATGGTGAAAACTAGGAAATTAAAATTTGTACAACACAATTAACTAATCTGCAGACTTTATTCACATTTCATCAATTGTCTCACTAGCGTTCTTTTTCTGGAGCAGGACCCTGTTCAAGATCCTACCTTAATGACTGTTTTAAAAATAGGGAGCTCTTTTGGGCTTCTGGGTATAGGTGATAGGGTTTAGGATCAGCTACCTCAAAATATGACACCTTGGCTCAGGATCAGCTACCCCAAGATATGACACCTTAAGACACCTTAAGCAGAAGGAGTTTGAGAAAATGGCAGAAGCAGAAAGGACTCTCTGACCTCCTCAACCCTTGTCCCTTGAAAATAGGAGATAAATCTCTCTGTGAAAAGAGAAAGGTAGACATTCTTATCTCCAGAGATGGGGAATTTAGGGTCAAGAAGCCTGTATAAACAGACTTTGCTACTTCTTCACCATTTACTACCCATAACCCTAACCCCTTTGTCTTGTCAATGCTTCACAAATTTATTGTTTGTCTGCAAAATATAACAGCTTTCTACTCTGATCATTTCTTTGGGTGGCCATTCTCTTGTGAGGGCTCCTATGTACATGTAACAATTCTATAAAATTTACGTGCTTTTCTTCTGTTACTATGCCTTATGTCAGTTTAATTCTTAGGCCAAGCCAGAGACCCCAAGAAGGGAGAAGAAGATTTCCTTCTTTACACAAGGCAACATGCAGCCTCCAGGGGTCTGGATGATAAACTTCCTTTTAAAATAATAAAAAAAAGTTTTCAATTACAGTTGACATACAATATTATATTAGTTTCAAATATATAACATAGTTAGACATTTATATAATGTGCAAAGTGATCACCCCAATAAGTCTATTTCCATCTGACGCTATACATAGTTATTCTAATATTATTGACTATATTCCCTATACTGTACTTACATCTCAGTGACTGTTTTTATAACTGACAATTTGTACTAATTAATCCCTTCCCCTTTTCACCCATTTTCTAACCTTCTTCCCATTTGGCAACCATCAAAACCACATGATTAACTTCTGAATAAGGTTCATAGTGTATTCCTCCCTCACAGGGTGGCTGGAATTACCTCACAAAGCTCTGCTAGGGTCATACCAAGATAGCAAGAACTGGTGCCAGGGCCTGCAGGCACAGTGGGATCCAGGAGGCAGAAATCTGTGGTGAGTAGGTAGCAGGTGAATAAAGAGAACCTATAGAGAAGCACAAAGAATAGTTGATGGCAGGTTAGATAGTTGGAACCCAAGGTAAGTAAGCAGAATGTACCACACCCTGTTCCATGCCCCTGATTCCTTATATTCCAGTTCAGATATTATGTTCTTCATAAGCCTTTCCCCATTTCCACAAACGGCACTCCTCTGTCCAACACACCAGCTCTTATTGCATAGTATTGTAAAGATCTGTTCTGGGGGATTTCTTCCTTGCTAGGTGTGAAGGCGGGTATTTAGAAATTATGCTTGTCTGAATCACCAAAGAACTAAATGGGAGTGGAAAATGACCTGACCTGGGAGTGGATTGGGCAGCCATACAGAGATATTTCCTTGGCTGGTCCTTTGGTCAAATTGTGGGCAGGGCCTTGGAAGAAAAAGGTTCAGATCTCAGTCTCTGTTTAAATACAGGCAGTCATTTCCTGGGAAAGCTTGTGTTGGTGAAGGCTCCCGAGGGGCAGCGAGTGATCCTGAGCCTGGCACCCTGGAAGGTGCAGTGGATAAGAGGTTTCTGAGGCTGCAGAGATGAGAGTTGGATTCTGGAGAAACCATCTGCTGCTGCTAGCTGTCCTGGTCTTGGTGGCCAAATTGGGTCACTTTCATAGGTGGGGAGGCTTCCAGGAGAAGTCAACGAGCAAGAAAAACATGAATTCAACACTCGAATTCTTCATTGAAAACTACAATAACGTGAGCAATGACACCTACTTATTTCGAGTAGACAAGCTACTTCAAAGTCATATGCAGGTTTGTGCCTCAGTTTCTCCGGATGTTGGCATTCTTGCCTATCCAGACATGCAGATATATGGTGGGGCTTCCACAGAGTACCAAACAATCTTTTCATCAAGTTGGAAATGGCTTCACTTGGAATGGGCAAGGTCTAGAGTGGTTCAGAACCTAGCATTAGCCACACTTCCAAAATGGACTGGAATGAATCCCTCACTGTCAGTCTTAGTCTGAAGCACAAATGTCCCCTGAGGTTCTCAACTATTATCCCTTGGGAAGAAGTATCTTTCATTCTGAAATGAGGTCCTACAGGAGTAAAAGCAAATGAGGATAACTTTGCTTTCTTTGATGGCCTCATTTGGCAAAATATAAATGTTCTCTGCAGGTTCCCCTCAACATTAACATTTCAATGTCCAGGGTTATAAAATCTAAGTCTGGACTTTCTAGCTGTGTTCTGCAGAAACCTGGAATTACACAGAGGGTTTTTTGTTTGTTTGTTTGTTTTTTGCCAGGAGAGCAGGGAGAATGAGGACTATGCTTCGAGCAGATATTGTTTTATGTATAAAGTTTTCTGATATCAGTTGAAGGGTGATAAATGAAAGAAAAGTTTTTTGAAAACCCCTTATGTTGGTACAACCTCCTCTTAAGTTCAGATAGTAATATTAAACAAAAAATTTAACCTCCATAGCAGAAAATCTTTAAGAAAGGTTTTACCAAGTCAAAAAATGCCTGTCAGAAAACCAGTCTTGGGACATGAAGTGCAAATCACTAGCAGATGGCTAGGTGTTAAAGACATACATGTCCATTGTCTTGGAGTTTACAAGCATTTTTATGTATCAAGTAGCGGGTAGGGAAAAGAAAGATGTAAGCTGTCTTAAAGAATTTACATTAGCTATAGATAAAGGGGTGGTAGAAAATGAATCAAGGCCAGCTCTGGGATAGGCACAGAGTCTGCAAAAAGAAATGTCTGCTCCTGTGGATTGGCCGTCGGCAGCAGTCCCTAAAATCCTCATGTAAACAAGAAGCAGAGGCTCCTAGAGTCCAATGGGGCCTGGCTAGAATAATCTGCGAAAATAGCCACCTAGAAATTAATCCGAAATTCCAACAGATATAGAAGGAATGTGAGCAGTCTTGTTAGTTGGCCCATAACCATTAACAGACTAACAGTTCTATCTCTTTTTCTCACTTTCTTTCTCTCACTATCTCTTTCTCTCTTTAATTTTTTCCTTGTCAGTAAACTATGTAAGGTAAGGCAGAGGCAATACTACATCTTACTTCAATTAACTGTATTAAAAAAAATAATCGACTAGGAGAAAAGGGCTCTGATCGGAGAGGGTCAGCGGGAACAGGAGAAACCAGGCAGGGCATGGGGCAGAGAGGGGCAGGTAGTGTTAATGTGACACAGATGGGTCTCACTTGGCAGCGTATTCCTATCTCAGTAACACACATTTGCCGGTGCTAGTCAGGGCCAAGAACATTGAGTAACTTAGCCACAAGATGGCGGCCCTCGACCAAAGTTCTTGCAGAAGTTTGTGTTTTCCCCATCAGTCCTCTCAAAGATAAACCCGAGAATCTGAGGAGTCTTGTCTTGTGGAATCAATCCATTGCCATTAACAGTTAATTCTGAAAGAATTGTGAGCAAACTTTTGATGTCATTCAAATGGATGAATTGACAAGAGTGAGTGTGCCCCTTTGGTAGCTGGGTGACCTGGGGCAAGGATCCCTGGGTATCCCTACATATGTTACCACATGATTGTGTTCATCCTAATATCTCACAAAGGGATGTAGGAGGTGGGCACCTTCTGGGTTTAACAACCATATCTTCCTAATTGTGGGATCTTGGTCAAGCGCCATCCATACTCTGCAGGCCTCATTTTCCTCACTGCAAAGTGGGCTGAATAAGACTGAAGCAGCACTTGTAAAAATATTTGTATCATTATGATTATTTCTATTGTTATTTAAAAGTCAAGTCTAATAATAAGAAAACACTTTGTACTAGAATGTTAGAATGGCCAGTGTTTCAGTTTCTTCATATGTACAGAGGATGCTGAAGGCCAGTGTGATAGTGCTTGGTACAAGCCCTGAAAGATACCAATGCCTGGATGGAACTGTCCTCTGATGAAGAGCTCAGGAGCCCTATCTTGAGGTCCTCTCATTGGACGCAGGGACCAGGATGGTGGTACTGCCCTCAGGCCCCCTCCCCTGCCACACTGTACTTCTTGTGGTTTTCTAGGGGTGCTTTCCTCCCAAGGCCAGTGTGATCACTCTCTCCTTCTATGGCCACTCCAGGAAGTGCAAGCCTTCTTATTTGGTTTGGCCACTGCATTTGGACAAGGAAGCAGAAAGTTTCAGGAGCTTTTCCCCTCACCAGGTAGAACTCTAGTTCACACAGTTATTGGGGAATCCAGCCCAGTTTCCAATATAAACCATTTGTTAGTTTCACTTCTGGATATGAGGCTTACCTGCCCCCAAAGACTTTCCCAGTCTTTTGCCCTCATGTCTTCAGACCTCGCACTTGAACATGAGTACACGAAGATATATCTCAACAACAGGAAGTAGCCATGGTGTGCGTTCTCCATGGTCTATGTATTCACCATTCAGATACACCACAGGAAGAAATTGGCATTGTTCTCCCCATTTTCTAGATGAGAAAACTGAGACTCAGGGAGGTGGAAGGACTTTGGCCAGGATGTTAGACTTGGCAGGGGTAAATTGAGAACTCAAGCACAATTCTCTTCTGACATTCTCTCAACTCCATTGCTGCTTCAGAGTAATGTTCCCAACACTTGCTAAAACATTTATTTATTTGTAATTATTAAGTTACTTTAAAATGTTTTATGCATTCAGTGAAATGCATGCTTCTCTTTAGCCCATGTAATAACTCCTTGAGCAGGCATAGTTATTATCTGTATTCTGTAAATGAGGAAACCAATGCTTCTAAGGCACTTGCTCAAGGTCACAGTGTTAGTGGGTGGGAAACAAATGCTCCAAATCTGCTTGATTCCTAAGCCTGTGTTTTCAGCTCTGTTGCTGGACTGTCTCTCATTGGGTTGGTTGGGAAAGAGAGTAGGGAGGAAGGACATGGCTGAAGGGACTGGGAGAGCTGAAGAATAAGGTGTAGCCAGCTCTATGCATTCTGAGGGCCATGTGCACAGACCTGGGGGAGCTCTGGGCTGCCAGGAAGCCAAGCTCGGTGTGTTATCTCCCTCAAAGGGAACAGGTGAGACCCATCTGTGACTGCAACAGTGAAGCCAATGTGGAGCAAAGGAATGGGCTGCACATACAGTGGGTGCTGATGAAGGACCATGGTACCAGCCTGAGGGGAGGAGGAAACCATGATTTGGTGGATGAGCCACACACAAGGACTGTGGCTCCTGGGGCTTCACTCTCCATTGAGCCTTTTCTGGAGAGAATCAGCAACTGGAGGCTTTGAGTCAAAACTAACAGTGACATTGTTTCTCGATAGCTCACGTCGGGAGTGGAGTATCTGGTTACTGTGAAGATTAGTCGGACCAAGTGCAAAAGGAACAGCACAAAAAGTCACTCGTGCCCCATTCAAGGCAAGAAGAATTTAAAAAAGGTGTGTGGTGGCAGTCATCTGAGAAGGGACTCTTGATTAAGAATGAGAAAGTAAAAAATTTAAAAGTTAACATGAATTGGACATTGACAGCTTTTTCAGCTGTGCAGACTGGGGCAGAGTGGGGCCACAGCCTTAGAGCTGCTTAGGGTGGGAGGAAGGCTCTCTCGTTGGGCAGTCCCCCACCTCAGGGCTGGCATAGGCCTGGCCCCAGGCCTCCAGATCACCTGGCCCACTCTAGGCCCTCAATGGAAATAGCATATTTTTTCCTTGGGGATCTTGTTCTGGGGTCAGCTCGCACTCTCTAGGTCCCTGAGGTTTGTCAAGTTGTCTCCTTGTCTTCTAGCCTGTGCCCCGCCTTTTTCTGGTCCTTCCTGATGGCTCCACCTACTGACAGATATGAGGGTCTCCCTGTACCTGGGTGCAGATGTAGGACTGGGGTTGGGAGGAGGGATATCGAGGCATGTCGCTCCAGGTCTCACATGACTGGGCATGGAGAGCCCCAGGCAACATTTCTGTTCTGAGCCTGGCACCCCACTTCCCCTACCTCATGACTGTGAGCAGAACCTGCCCACTTATGTGGTTGGTGCACAACCTCAATGATGGGTTCAGACTCCCCGGTGAGGGCCTGAGAGGCAGGAGCTTTTTGTTTGTCTTCAAAAAATATTTCCCTGAAAGCTGATTGTGGTCTTTCTCCTTTCACAGAGTTTCATTTGCAATTTTTTGATGTACACTGTGCCCTGGATGAACTATTACCAGCTTTGGAACAACTCCTGTCTGGAGGCCTAAATGAGTTTGTGCAAAGATTCTTGATGAAAACTTAGATGTTCGCACTGTGCACTTTCTGTTACAGACTTCTGGACAGACCTCATTGCCCTCAGCAGGGTCTTGTTACATACCCACTTGCACTCACATACACTCGCATTTACACTCTCACACACACATTCACAGTAAACACATCCACTCACACACACACACACGAACTAACTCACACTCTTGCACCTTACATAGTTCAGTCACACATACACACAGCACACATACATCCACACTCACATAAATGCAAATATGCATTCACACACATATTCTCACACTCACTTATGTACATATTCAGTGGTCTTTAGGGCACTGGTGCGACTTGAGCAGAAGGTTGTTAACACTTTACAGGAATCTCAGCCCATATATCTGAGGCATTTCATTATTTAGGCACATCCTGACTTCTGGCCCAAGCTTGCAGGAGCTCTGTTTCTTCCCTATGCACATATAACTCTGTGACTGACACATGTCTTGTGTGTGTGTTAGAGATCCCCAAGACCAAACCCTAGGATCAATTGATTCACTAGAAGGACTCCCAGAACTCAGCATAGAGTCACATTCACAGCTATGATTCCTTACAGTGCAAGGACACAGAGCAAAATCAGCAAAGGGAAAAGGCAAATGAGAAAAAGTCCCAGCAAACCAGGCACAAGCTTCCAGAATCCTCTCCCAGAGTAGTTACGCAGGACTTGCTTATGGCCACACATGCGAAATATTGTCTACTAGGGAAGCTCTTTAGAAACTCAGTGCCATGGGCTTTCACTGGAACTGGTCACATAGAAAGCCTTTACCTAACATGCATCCAAATTTCAGACTCCCACAGAGAAAGCAGATGTTCAGCACAGATCACATTGTACAATGTAGATACAGTGAGGCCCTTTTATTATTTAAGGGGTTTTATATCAG